TTAGTATTAGATAGCAATATGGCCTACGTGTAGGACTGTACAAGGACTCTGATTATTTTGACTATGATGTGACGGTCTCTGTGTGACATGTCCGTCTTTCCATGTGTGACGTGACAATGACTATATAAACTGTGTACTGACTCCATTCTGTCTGAGAGAAAGAAACAATGGAAACCACTGGAACTTGAGAGAAACTTAAATAAACTTCCAGAGTTTGGCGCACCACGATCCGTCTCTGTCTGCTTCATCCCTGACACTATATAGAGCTCCGTTGACAGGTGGGAGGGGTTAACTCCTTTTGCAGATTGAAAGGATTGGATCTGAGTTTACGTATGTAATTTATTTATTTATTTATTACTGGGACAGTGCATATTAATGAACATTTCTGTAAATATGCCAGAATTAGCCAAACGGCTATTTTTCATCCGTAGTCCCATGTCTCCTGAAAAGATAAAAACATGTTTGCTACACAGTTAAAATAATGTGAGATATTTACAATATTTACAAGGACAAGACAGTAAAACCTTCAGTCACACGTTCAACAAACAACAATACACAATCACATGGCCACAGACGTAGAACACATACAGGCGCACACAGAGCATGCGGCCAGCAGGGGGCAGCAAGAGCAGGCGGAGTCAGTGCTGACAGGTGTGATTATCAATGAGCCAGTGTTTTAACTGTTTTGTACGTGAGGTAAGAGGGTGTATTTCTGATAGTTGTGGGTAGGAGGTTCCAATCTGAGGTGGCACGGATGGAGAATGAAGATTGACCAAATATGCTTTTCCTGAGGGGGGTGATACAGTCCCCTCTCGCTGCCCCCCTGGTCCTGGTGTGGGTGCTGTTTCTGGTATTGATGAACTGACTGAGAGGTGGGGATGAAAGACCATGAAGGATTTTATAGACCAGACAGAGATTGGAGAACTTGACCATGTTATCGAGAGTGAGAAGTTTGTGTTTGTGTAGTATGGGACAGTGGTGAGAGTGATGGGGTTTCTTGTCCAGGGTTTTTACCGTCCGTTTGTAGAGTGAGTGCAGGGGTTTCAGGGCTGTGGTGTTTGCTAGGGACCAGGTAGGGAGACAGTATGTGATGTGGGACAGAATCATGGAGTGCATAAACATTTTGGCTGCTGAAGTAGACATTTTGAAGTTGCGGATGTGTTTGAAGTTGCAGAGGTTGTATTTAATTTTATTGCAAGTTATTTTTATGTGAGCTTTGAATGAAAGGTGTGAGTCAATTATTATTCCAAGGTATTTGTATTCTGTGACGATCTGTAGCCTGTTGCCTGAAACTAAAACATCTGGATCTGTGCATGGGAGAGACTTGTAAGATTTGGAGAAGAACATTGCAACTGTTTTGGATGTATTAAGTTTGAGACAGGAGTGATTGAGCCAGGATGAAATGTGAGCCATGGAGTTAGTGAGTTTTTCAGCAACCTGTGAAGTGTTATTGCCATGTGTGAATATTACTGTGTCGTCGGCGTACATGAGTATGGGAATTTTGCAGACAGATGGGAGGTCGTTAATGTAGAGGGAGAAAAGTAGAGGAGCTAGTGTGGACCCTTGAGGAAGACCGGTGGAGAGACCGATAGGTGAAGACTGGTGTGACTGGATACGGACCTGTTGCGAGCGATGTGAGAGATATGATTCAATCCATTTTATGAGAGAGGGAGAGAAGTTGAATTAGTGTAATTTGGCCAGAAGGATTTTGTGGTTAACTGTATCGAATGCTTTTTTGAGGTCTAAGAAAACAGCACCCACCACCCCTCCAGCAGTGCTCTGATGTTCTCTGTGAAGTAGCAGGTGGCTGTTTCGGTGGAATGGTGGGTTCTGAAGCCAAACTGCAATGGGTGGAGACTGTAGGGTGTGGTGTGAAGGTGAAGGGATATTTGTTCTGCAACTAATATTTCTGCTATTTTAGAGACTGAAGGTAGGATGCTGATGGGTCTGTAATTGTCCATGGATTGAGGGTCACCGCTTTTGTAAATAGGAATGATGATAGAAGATTTCCAGATACAAGGAAACAGATTCTCAGAGAAAGACATATTAATGAGTTTGGTGATGGGGGTTGTGAGAGAAGTGGAGATGTCCTTTAACATGACTGCGTTCATGCCCAATATGTCTTTGCATCTGGATGGTCTAAGTGATTTGATGGTCCGTGTAACATCTGTCTCTGAGATGGATGTTAGGCTGAGAACAGGTGGGTCTGTATTGGCTGTAGGTGAGTGAGATGATTGAACAAAACCTTGCGCTATATTAGCAACCGAGTCAACAAAGTAAAGGTTGAATGCTTCAGCCACAGCAGAGGGCTGGCTTGAGACTGCCATTAATTTTGATTTCCAATTTTTTGTTCTCTTTGGCTCGATGTCCTGTAATTTTCTTCAATTGATCCCATATAGCTTTGGAGTTACCATTTGCCCCTTCTATTATGGTAAGGAAAAAATCAGCTTTAGCTTTTCTGATTGACCTAACTACCTTATTTCGGAACATAGCAAATAGACCACGATCATGGGTGGATTTAGATTTCACAGCTTTTTTTAAAGCCTTGTCTCGCTCTTTCATGAGTTGTATTATGTCCGTGTTGATCCAAGGAACTTGAGTGAGTCGTTAGCATTGAGCCTTGCCATCTCCTTTGCCTCGAACAAAGCCCGGGGATATAGGGACATCAAAGTTGGCAGAAGGAGAAACCTCTCCATCTGTTGTGGTTTGACTCCCCCGTGTGGTTTTTGGTTTTTGTTTCAGGCATGGTTGGGTGTGGTCTTTGAGCAGGCACAGCTGTCCTCAGTTCCCTCATCACCACAGTACTAAGTCTCCAAGCTGAATTCCACTCATTGTCAGATTGTTCCGTCTTCCACCATGGTGTTATGACTTTTACCTTCCCTATGAGGATTTTACTTTGTGAATTATGTTCTGATTTTTTTACCTTTATGCTCCCAGTTCCACTGCCTGCTCGGAGCCCCCCACTGGACCAAGCCTTGTCCTGTTTCCCTTCACTTCTGTAAATACAGACATCACAACACAGACATACAACTTGTCTGTACAAGTGTCATTGATAATAATTCACTGGTAACTTTGTCTCTAGTCACTTTACCTGTTATTATTATTACTGCATTATTCATCCATCTGATACTTCTGCCATTCACTAGTCAATTTACCTGTTGATATTATTACTGATGTTTATTCTGCTCATATTCTCTGCTGCTTAAGAACAATATACACATCTGCAAATACTCCTGAACCAAGTGCAACTATAGCTCCAGAGTTTATATATATTTTTCTTTTATTCTTATTTTAATTATATTGTCTTATCTTAAAAAATAGACTATTTAATGTGTGCAATCTGAATGCTCGTATTTCCTTCTTTCTCTGCTGTAATGTGCGCAACGATGACACTGAAATTTCTCCACTGTGAGACAAAGGAACATCTTATCTTGATAAAGAAACAGTAATTGTTGGACCATTTTGCTATCTTTTCTTTTGCTGCCTCCTGCCACTGTGTGGCGCCACCTTGAAAGTATGCCCTATATAAGTGGGGCACTAATGACAGACGGGTGTTGTAATGTGGAGGCAAACATCTTTCGAGCGTCGTTTGTTACCACAGCTTACAGTGTAATATTTGTGTACTTGGCTACGATAAATGATTGTGGAACACAGTATTTCGCTCTATTTTGACGGTGAGAGACACGCGTCCGAGACGCCAACACACTACATCCAGCGGTCCTTGCACAGGGCAAGTTTTGGCCGCTAAAGTAATGAACATATAGTTGTAGTTATAGCTAGCTAAGTTTGTTTTGATTTTTTAGTATGATGCTTAGGGCTTTTATACCATATAAATCCTGAACTGTGAGTGTCAGAAGCAGGAGGTAAGTATCGGTGACGCCAAATGACTCCATTTTGCACTCCACTCCGCAGTGCATTCTCTGCATGAAATGGAATGACTCGTTACATTCGAAAATGGGTGGTTACAACAGACTTAACAAAACAATAAAATTATTTATACATAACTAATATTTGAACGCGTTTTAAACACCCCATCGCCCCTGGCAACATGGTTAAGTTAGACAAATACAAAATAAAGTGCTTATTTTTTGTTTCAGCGGGAGCATAATGATATAAAGATGTGTTTAGTGTTGCCCACACATTTAAAGTCTGTTCCAACTCAAAACATTTTAGATTAAGAAAAAAGAAAAAAAGAATGAAATAAAATAAAAAGTGTATAACAATGTGACTCAACAATGTGACCCAGTTGGTAGAACATTGGCCTTTGAGCCAGAAGGTTGTGGGTTCGAACCCACCATGAGGCCTTCTCCACCGACTCCCACTGCTACAGTTTTGTCCTTGGTTGAGACACTTACCCCTACTTTGCCTGAAGCCCCTACTGAAAGATCAATGCTGTGGATTCAAAGTGCCACAATTTCAGGACAAAACTATTATTTACATTTGTCGTCCTTTTTTAAATGGTGTCAGTGTAATAATTCAATAATTTTGTGTTTTCAGAACAACAACTCAGCTTTGACAGAAGAATTATTCAGTCTATAATTGTATAAGTTGTATTTTAGGATGTCATTTTTAGTGGTTAATAGGGCAAATTAAAGAAAATGCAGTATAATTATTGATCAGCTACTTTCCTGCTTCTCTTCATCTGGATCAAACAACACAGTTTTCTTTCATAGAGAGGAATCACAACTGTTTATTCTGACAACAGCCAGTATATAACACACAAATACCACATTGTTTCATTACACTTACAATTATCTAACTGGTTTAGACCTGTCATAAAGTCCTGGGTTCTTCTTGTTTGGCTCCTGTTTCTGACAAACTGCAAACATGAACTAATTCATGTTTTTCACATTTGTCCTTTGTGTATCTGGCATCTTATTCCAACAGCAGGTCACGTTCTTCAGTCCTACTCTCATCCTGGTCCAGGTGTGGTTCAGGTGTGGTTCAGGTCTGGTCCAGTCCTGGTCCAGTCCTGGTACAGCTCTGGTTCAGCTCTGGTTTTAAACCGTTTGTTCTGTTTTCGCCGGTTTCTTCGTGTAGTTGTCATTCAGCATTTTCAGGTGTTTGTTTCGAGCCTCCAATCGAACCGACCATTCTCCTCTCAACCTGGAATCAGCAACAACAATTTGAACACACTCTGAAAGGAAAGCCGAAGGAATGCCAAAAAGGTAAAAAATAAATAAATAAAGAAATCATGATAAGGATATTCCAGTAGAAAAAGTTTGGTAAAAAATGCTGTCTGTAACTCTCTACACTACAACCAGAGGGGGGGTTGAATTTGTTTTTCGTTTTTGACTGCCTGCAAACACGACCATGTGATTGTAATATAGAATGTAATTTGTAAAATAATAATGGGCATAAAACAGCTCTGTGTGTGACTTCATACTATTACAGGAGTTTAATGTTCCATGTGCCATAAGTTCATAGTAGCATGTATGGATCTAAATACAACCCCAGGTCTGTGACTGATGAGGAACATGATTACATGAAAATTAAAACCATATATTGAAACATTTTCAATTCAATTATACAAGGTTTTGTTCAAATTACATTCACTCGCATGTTTTTTTACTAATACAAAAGTTTTGTTTATTTTAGTTACTTGTTTGCTTTAGTTACTTACTGGATGTTTAGGATTTGGCAAATAATACAAAAAAATAAATGGAACGAGAAAGGAAGGCCAGACCAAGCAAATGTTATTGGTGTCAATTATAAGTTGACTATATGTCTGTGTGTTATTATAAAAAAAATCCTGTGTTTTCAGAACAACAATACACGCTCTAACACAAGAATAATTCAGTCAATAATTGTAAAAGACGTATTTGAAATCTTACATCTGATTCGTTTTTAAATCCTTTGAAGGTTAGAATACAAATTACAATTTATTTTGACTTGCTATCCTCATCATATTAGAAAACATTGTAAGAAAGAGCCCTGTGAGTCACTATTTGTCACTTTGGGCTGAGAGGTGGTTGAATGAAGTTGGTAGTTTTCACATGTGTATATTTATATATATATCTATTTATATATATATAGATATATATATATGTCGTGGTACCGAGCCTTAGCTGGTGGTAATTTAGAGTAACTTCTAAATTAGAGTAGTGGTTGCAACAACGCCACCCTATTTTTAGTTATAGGGAACTTTTCCTCAAGGCACACAGGTAAGTAATAGGACAGGCCAAGGTTCCATTTAAAGTACATTCGGTTTATTTTTAGACATTGGTAAAACAAAATTAAGAACTTGCAATTTGAAGAGACTAATTTAAAATACTAGCTCCCACCAGTGGCGGAGCCAGAGGGGTAGCCAGGGTGGCCACTGCCACCTCTAAAAATATCCTTGCCACTGCCACCCCCAGTGCCCCCCTCGGAAGACGGCAATGTAATAATGTTAATCTTGAGAATCTTCCGCACTTTTTCCGCCAAAAGCTAAAAATTCCCACGGTTTCCCCCGTCTTTGAACACACCTTGACTCCGTGTGGAGCCAGTGCTGTATGCTAATGTTTTGGGTTGTTGGACTCAGGTGTGCCCAAGTCGTGATGAAAACAAAGAGGTAAGTTAGCGATGCAGAGCCAACCGTTTACATTTGACACAAAGTATTGACACACGTACTGCAGCGCATTACTTGTTCAGTTTGTAGTACTTTTAGTGTGTGTATGTGTGTGTGCGTGCCTGTGTGCCAGTGTGTCTGCGTGCGTGTGCGTGTGCGTGCTTGTGTGTGCCAGTGTGCGTGTGCGTGCCTGTGTGTGCCAGTGTGGGTCTGCGTGCCTGTGTGCGTGTGTGCGTGCCTGTGTGTGCCAGTGTGTGTGTGCGTGCCTGTGTGTGCCAGTGTGCGTGCGGGGTGCATGCGTGTGTATTTTCCATTATTAATTGCCCATCGTATCATCGCCCTCTTCCCTTTAGTGTAAAGATGAAAAGAAAAGGAGGAAACATTGCCTACAGGCACTTTTTTGTTCAGACTACTGTTTAAATACACTTTTTTGCTTTGTAGTTTCCAAGTGTGCTCTCAGTTCACTTTATATTAAAAATAATGACAAGATTAAGATTAAAATGTATCGTTTAGCCAGTTTTGGTGTGAAATAAAATTTCGGAATAGCATAAATGTGGACCCCTTAAAAAAACCCTTGCCACCCCCTGGCCACCCTCTGTTTAAAAGTCTGGCTCCGCCACTGGCTCCCACTGCACCACGACCGCTCCGTTCAGCAGCCCTCCGTGCCTGACAGACAAGAATGGGAGGGGGGGGGACTCCGAGTGAGCCAAGCGCGCAGAGCGCGGCTGGAGCACCGACCGCTGGATGGAAGCGGGGCCACAGAGGAGGTGGGGGCAGAACGGGTCAGAGGGAAGCAGCAGCACAAAACAAAAACACAATGTTACAGTGAATGGAAACGGGGATGGTAAAACAGGGGGGGGGGGGAGCAAAGCAGCAGAGGAGACGTGTCCCAACGCTGCAGACCGCCGCTGACACCTGGTAATTAATAATAGTAATTAATCTGCTATTAAATGTGGTAGGTGTGACTGAAGCGCGCACCTACCGCTGTGAAAGACTGGAGAGCGCACAACCCCTGGCGTGTCACAGAAAGTTACGTACTGTACAAGCAAATGCAGCAGGGGGGCGGGGCAGGGCACGGGCTGGCCCAAGCCGCTGACACCAGCTGCCAATCCTGCAGCAGCACTATGAGCAGACAGCGGGATTTAAAGGCTGTCTTAATCAATAAATAAATTAAATTATACCTGTTGCCCCAATTGAACGGACACAGTGATGCCCAACAATGCCCAGCGCAGACAAGGCCAATCACCATCGGGGGACTAGGAGAGCAGTAGTTAGATTTTTGTGAATGAATGAATGGGGAGAGGAGTATTACCAGTCACAGCAGATGAGGCAGCATGCCCTGGCGCGACACACAAAATCAAGCCGTGCAAACAGGCGGTGTGAGGCTGCAGTCATACAGCAGCGCTAAAAGGACAATATTGTAAGAAATGGGGAGATTTATGCAATTTGGAGCCACGCATTTGGGACTTTACCTAGGACTGGAGAGGAGCAGAGTCACACGGCCCAGTGGGAAGTGCGGGCAAACAGGGAGTGACATGGGATGGGAGCGCTTAAATAGTCCACCAGCTCAGCGCTGCAAGGCCGCGAGTAACAATGCCCTCAGCATAGACCACCAGACCTGGTCTTGCCACATATAGATAGATATATATGTATAATTATAAATTTAAAAAACACACACTTTCGCCATCCGCGGGCGGTTATCCCGTGCACTATCTTTGCTGTAGCACTGCACATTTTTATATTAAATATATATATATATATATACCTATATATATATATATATATACCGAGTGCTTCAGGTATATATATACCTGAAGCACTCAAAACTGCCAAACAAAGGCTCCAAGCCCTGGCCAGCCGCCTACAGAGGTACACTAAAGAGAATGAAGCCAGAAGGGTGAACAGGCTGTTCGCAACACAACCTGCGAAGGTGTACGCTCAGTGGCAGGGTAACAACAGGGGAGCAGATCCACCGAGGCTGGAAACTGAACAGTTCTGGAGGAACATATGGGAGAAGGATGCAGCACATAACAGAAGTGCACAATGGCTGGTGTCCCTGAGAGAGGAGCACAGCCACCTCCCAGAACAGAACTCAGTTACCATCACAGAGGCAGACATCCGAGAAAGAGTCTCAGGTATGAAAAACTGGACAGCACCTGGCCCTGATATGGTCCATGCCTACTGGCTAAGGACACTCACATCACTCCATGAGCGCCTAGCAGCACAAATGAACCAGCTGCTGAGAGATGGGACTCACCCAGAATGGCTAACCGAAGGGCGAACGGTCCTGATCATGAAGGACCCTGTCAAGGGTGCAGTCCCCTCCAACTACCGGCCAATAACCTGTCTCTCCACAACATGGAAGCTCATGTCAGGCATCATTGCGGCTAAGATAAGTGGGCATATGGAACAATTCATGAGCACAGCACAGAAGGGCATTGGTAGGGACGCCAGAGGAGCCAAACACCAGCTCCTGGTTGACAGAACAGTCGCCCAAGACTGCCGGTCACGACACACCAACCTGTGCACAGCCTGGATTGATTACCAGAAAGCCTACAACTCAATGCCACACACATGGATCATGGAATGCTTGAAGTTGTACAATATCAACAGGGCTCTAAGGGACTTCATTGCAAACTCGATGGGAATGTGGAAGACCACCCTTGAGGCAAATGGCAAGCCGCTCGCACAAGTGACCATCAAATGTGGTATCTACCAAGGAGATGCTCTGTACCCACTACTGTTCTGCATAGGCCTCAACCCTCTAAGCCAAGTAATTGACCAGACTGGCTATGGATACCGCCTCAGGAACGGAGCAAAGATCAATCACCTCCTCTACATGGATGACATCAAGCTGTACGCCAAGAGCGAGAGAGACATCGACTCTCTGATCCAAACAACCAGGATCTACAGCCATGACATCGGGATGTCATTTGGGCTCGAGAAATGTAGCAGGATGGTGACTCGGAGAGGCAAGGTAGTCCACACAGAAGGGATCTCACTCCCAGAGGGAACAATAGCAGACGTTGAGGACAGTTACAAGTATCTCGGTATACCACAGGCAAATGGCAACCTCAAACAGGTGACGAGGAAAGCGGCAACTGCCAAATACCTCCAGCGAGTAAGGCAGGTCCTAAGAAGCCGGCTCAATGGCAAGAACAAGGCCCGGGCAATTAACAGCTACGCCCTGCCAGTGATCAGATACCCTGCAGGAATAATCAGGTGGCCAAAGGAAGAGATTCAGACCACGGATGTTAAAACTCGAAAGCTCCTTACCATGCATGGCGGGTTCCATCCCAAATCCAGCACCCTGAGACTGTACGTAAGCCGTAAAGAAGGAGGCCGAGGACTAGTGAGTGTGAGAGCCACTGTCCAGGACGAAACATCCAAACTCCATAACTACATCATGGAGAAGGCCAAAACGGATGACGTACTCAGTGAATGTCTCAGGCAGTGGCGAGATGAGGAGGTGCTGGAGGAGAGCCCATCATGGGAGAACAAGCCCCTACACGGCATGTACCACCGGAGCATAACAGAAGTGGCTGATCTCAAGAAG